AAGCTACTTCCCCCACATTCCTTAACCCTCCCTCCCCAAGCGCAGGCAAATCCTTTTTAGCAAGGGCCTCACTCCCCACCCCCTGCTTGCCCAGGTTCCAGCACATTCATTCCTTCATTTGTCCAGTAGACGTTTACTAAGTACCCATGTGTGCCTGATGCTAGGGACACGGAAGCACAGCCCATGAGTCCCAACCACACTCCAGCTGGTAGACGTCACAAAGGTAGGGTGCCCTGAATTCTGCAGTGCCCTATGGAAGGAGCATCTGACCTCAAGGATCCCATCAGCTTTAAGTATGAGCTGTGCCCCAATTGGTGACCCACTTATGGTAGATTATTGCAATAATTGCCCCAAGTCCCCCCCCCCCTTTTTTTTTTCTAAGATCTGAACCCGTGGCCTTGGTATTATCAGCACTGCACTCTCCTGAGTGAGCCATGGGCCGGCCCCCAAGTCCCCCCCTTTTTTTTTGTCTTTTTTTTTGTGTGTGGCCGGTAAGGGGATGCAACCCTTGGCTTGGTGTCGCCTGCACCGCGCTCAGCCAGTGAGCGCACCGGCCATCCTTATATAGGATCCAAACCCGCGGCGGGAGTGCTGCTGCACTCCCATGCGCCACACTCTCCCGAGTGCACCACGGGGTAGGCCCCCAAGTCCCTTTTTTATTTTTATTTTTATTTTTTTTTTTTAAAGATGACCGGTAAGGGGATCTTAACCCCTGACTTGGTGTTGTCAGCACCACGCTCACCCAGTGAGAGAACCGGCCATCCCTACATGGGATCCGAATCTGCGGCCCTGGTGCTATCAGCACCGCACTCTCCCAAGTGAGCCACGGGCCGGCCCCCCAAGTCCCCTTTTTAATGTGACCTTGTCACTCCTCGTATTCAGGGGCAGAGTCTACTTGCCCATCCCCGAATCTGGGACGGCCTTGAATATGGTTTCCAGTGCTCTGTAACAAATTCCCATGAACTTAGTGGCTTAAAGCAGCACCGTTTATTATTTCAGATTCCGCAGGTCAGAAGTCCAGGAACAGTGTAACAGAAGGCTGTGTTCAGGATCTCACAGGTTGCAATCAAGGTGTCAGCCGGGGTTGCTCTCTCATGTGCAAGATCAGGGTCCTCCTCCAAGCTCATGGGTTGTTAACAGAACGCCGACCCTTGTCATCACGAGATTGAGGTCCTCAGCTCCTAGAAACCACCCACCATTCCTGCTACATGGCCCTCTCTGTGACATGGCAATTTGCTTCTTCAAGGCCAACAAAAGAGCAATTCTGCTGCTTCAAATCTCTCCCCTGAGGAAAGGCCTGGACCCTCTTTCAAAGAGCTTAGGACAGACCAGGATAGAATCCTTTTTGAGTAACTCAAAGTCAACTGATTAGAGAGACCTTAATTACATCTACATAATCCCTTTACTTTTTTCATATAACCTGATCACAGAAGTAAAATTCCATAAGTCCCACCCACACTCAAGGGGAGGATATTGTATAGGACATGTATACAGGGGCAGGCCTTGGGGGCTTTGAACTCTGCCCCCCATACCTTATGATTTTCTTTGACTAATAGGATACCATGGGAGTGATATTGTGCAATTTCCAAGGTTAGGCCTTAAGAGACTTTGCAACGTGGTCACCTTCTTGTATGGCTTCTGCAGCCACGTAAGGCACCTTGAACTAGACTACTGGATGATGAGGGATCACGAGGAAAGACAGGCCCAGCCAGCACCCAGTGCTGAGACCCCAGACATGTAAGTCAACCCTTGGCCTTGTCTCTGACTCTAGCCACATGAGTGACTGTAAGCAAGACCAGGAAAGAGAAACATCCAGCAGAGCTCAGCCAACCACAGCATGATGAAAGATAATAAATGCTTGCATTCTACGCCACTAGGTTTTGATGTTTCATACTACAGGTTTGTTTCCTAGCACAGGCTAACTGAAATGCCCCCTCTCTGGGCAACAACTCACATAGGCTAAGAGATCAATTTTTTCCCTTGTGGCATTGGACCAAATCTCAGAACTACAGACCACTAGAGGTGGAGGGAACTTTTTCTCATAGAATATAGATTATCTTCTCCAGGGATTCATAACCAAGGGATGGGCTTCTGGGTGAATGGGGGGGTCTATAAAGCTCTCAAAATTTTTGGAGCAACTATTCACAATAGCCAAGAGATGGAATCAACCTAAATACCCATCAATGAATGAATGGATTAAAAAACTGTTGTATGTATATACAATGGAATACTATTAAGCTATATGTAAACAAAGAAGTCCTATCATTTGCAGCAACATGGATGGAACTGGAAACCATCATGTTAAGTGAAGTGAGACAGGCACAGAAAGACAAATACCACATGATCTCACTTGTATGTGGAATCTAAAAAGAAGAAGAAAAAAAGTGATTCTCATAGAAATAGAGAGTTGAATCATGGAGGGAAGGGGGAGCAGCGGGGAAGAGAGGTGTCCGCCATCGGGTGGACAACACTATGCTGTCTACCCTAAGTGAATCACTGTGCTGTATACACATGTATTGAAATAATACACTGTACCCCACAAATATGTACATGTAAATGTTAAAATAAAAAATTTAAAAAAAATTTTTAACATGAACTGGGACACAACAAATTCTCAAAATAGTCATCGGCCAAAAACTGTTATGATCCACAAAAAAGGGCCAGTCCACCCCGCCATTTTGCAAGTTGAAAACTAAGACCCAGAGAGTGGAAAAGGACTTTCACAATGTCACAGTTACCAAAGAGAAGGGATTTAAACCTGGGTGTGTGCTTGCCCATGTCATCTCATCTCAGCACTCCTCTGCTGAGCAGTCCCGCTGGTTCCCACTGTTTGGGACCAAAGCCAAACTCAACCAGCATTTGAGGTCCTTCCCAAGAGAGTGTCAGCCCATCTTCCCAGTGCCATCCCTTGCTGTGTCCTCACAACCCATGCCATAGCAGACGGTCCCCAAAACAGGCACAGTCATGCTGTGAAGTGCTTGTTGAAGCTGCCCCTCTACCTAGGATGCCCTCCTCATTCTTCCCTCGCAGGAAAGTTCCTACTCCTCTTTCCAGCCCCAAAACAAATGCCCCCGCCTCTGAGAAGCCTTCCCAGCCTCTCTTCTTCCAAGCGGTGGGTCACTGCCTCATCTAGACTGCCAAGGCATCTGGCACACACCTTTTGCATGGTAGGCTGAATAATGCCCCTCCAAGGATGTCAACGTCCTGATCCCCAGAACCCGTGAATGGGATACCTACATACCATACATTTACCCTACGGCAAAAGGGGCTTAGCAGACACGATGAAGTTAAGGATGTTGAGATGGGGAGATGATCCTCTACTATTTGGTGGACCCAATGTAATCACAAGCGTCCTTATAAAAAGGAGGCATTAGGCGGGCAGGGGAGGGTGAAGTGATGATGGAAACAGAGATGTGAACGATGAAGCCAGGAGTCGAGGAACGCCAGCAGCTTCCAGAAGGTGCAAGAGTCAAGGAACAGATTCTCTCTTAGAGCCTCCAAAAGGAACCAGCCCTGGGGTAGCTCGACTTGGTGTTGCAGCAGAGAAAGCTAAAAATCCTTTTTCTTAGTAAACAAGTAATGTGAGCAAGAGACAGCTCGTACCCTTGCCACGTCCCCATTCCTCGCACCCCATCTCAGCCCCTCTACAGTCACTAAAATGATGGTGATATCTGTTTTTAATGGCACTGAAAGATGTCCAATTTACATCATCAAGGGAGAAAAGCAGAGTCCAGAACAGTGTGAATAGTATGATCTTATCCTGTTAAAAAAATAAATATATAGACAATGTATATAGACAATGCATATATGTGTGTATTTACATAGGCACAGAACCGAAGCTGTTATCAATGGTTTTATGGAGATTATGGACAGTTGCTTTTTTTCCTTACCTGTATCTTTAAAATATTGTTTTACAAAGAACAAGACCTTGGACGTAATGAAAATAAATTTTTATTAATTTCAAATCAAAAGAAATGGAGCGTTTTGTGTGGCAGGGCCACTTCGTGTCCATGCCGGGACAGCCCCGGGTCCCCCGGCCCCTCCCCACCCAAGTAGGAAGCGGGGTCCGGCCTCCTCGCGGGCAGTGGTGGAACCATCCGAGGAGGCTCCAGCGGCAGCAGAGCGACGCAGCCAGGGGCCTGGAAATAGGAAAACCTAGACATGTCGCGAGGGCGGTCTCTGCCGGACGACCCGCAGATGACCCGCTCTGGGCCCACGCTGGGTGCGGGGCGTCCGTTCTCGCCCTGGCCTCTCCCGCCCCCTTCCCGCTGCCACGGCGTCCTCGCTGCAGTCTTCACCCGGCTTCCTGGTGAAGGCAGGTGCCGCCCAAGCCCATGGCCACGGAGCAGATGCCCGGGATCACCTCGGCCTTCCTCGGCCCGGGTCACCGCACTCCCCTTTCCTACGGTGGCGTTTTTGTTTTAACTCATCTGAACTGGTTACAAAACCACACTCCCACGAATACATAAATAACGGGTGGGGGCGGGGGGGCAACGTTTTAAAGAAATTCCCGCAAGGCCTGGCAAGGCAACAGCAAATGCATTTCTGCTGCATCATATTTAACTGTTTGCAAACTTATGCCAGGAGGATGCGCAGCGGCTGCAGAGACTCAGAGGCTCCACCGCCCTTCTTTTCTGAGGCCTGGCGAGACTCGCGTGGGGGTTCAAAGGGGGGGAAGAAGGTGTCAGCGATCGGGGGCCAGGAAGACAGAGAGGGGCGTGAAAAGTGGAAGACTGCACTGCGCCTGCCCCGGCTTGGCACAAGCCGGACATCCACAGGTCTCCGGGCCCCGGCTCCCGCCGCCAGGCCAGGCCCCTTTAAGAGCCAGCGCGCGCCCCCGCCCCGGCAGCGCTCCCTTTCCCTAGCAACCGCCCCGGGGGAGGGGGAGGTCCTGGCAACGGCGCGCCGGCCGGGGGGGTCACGTGACGGCCCGCAGCTGGAACGCGAGCGCGCGCCCCGCCGGGGCCTGTGCGCTGCGGCGCGTGCGCGAGCGGTGCAGCACCGGCCGCGGGAGCAGGGAGTATTATGGGCTGTGGGTGCCGCTGAGCAAGATGGAGCTGTCTGCAGTGGGCGAGCGGGTCTTCGCGGCCGAATCCATCATCAAACGGCGGATCCGAAAGGTGAGGCGCCGCCCGGGGCGGGCCGCCGCTCCCCGCAGCCGGTGCCCGGCCCGCGGGCCCTGGGGGCGAGGCGGTCCCGCTAGCCCCGCTCGCTCGCCCACCCCCGCGCCGCCGCCTCCTCGCGCCCCTGCATCCTCCCCACCCCCACCCCCCTTTTTTTTCCTCTCTGTTTTTCAGGGACGCATCGAGTACCTGGTGAAATGGAAGGGGTGGGCGATCAAGTGAGTGTCACGGGGCCCCGGGGCGTGGGGGAGGGGTGGCGGCGGGCGCCGGGGCCTGGCAGGGGGCGGGGGCGCGCGTCGGCTGCCTCGCGCGTGCCTTCGCCGCTCGGGTTTTCATTTGTATCTTGTGCATGTGTGACTCGGCAGGTACAGCACTTGGGAGCCCGAGGAGAACATCCTGGACTCGCGGCTCATCGCAGCCTTCGAGCAGAAGTGAGTTGGCGCGGGCAGGGGCGGCGGGGCCGAGGCTCGGCTGGGGCGCCGCGTGGGGAAGCGGGGGAGCCGGGAGGGCAGCGCGGAGGGGGGCCCGGGGAGGGGCTCGTTTTAACCTTTGGCATTTCTCGGCCGCAGGGAGAGAGAGCGTGAGCTGTATGGGCCCAAGAAGAGGGGACCCAAACCCAAAACTTTCCTCCTGAAGGTAACCTGGCCCAGCCCCAGCAGTCCCCTCTCGGGCCCCCAGCCCCTGCGCAGGACGGGTCCTGGAAGGGAGGGACAGATCCGCGGCCGCCCGCTTGGGCGGGCCTTTCCAGAGGGGCCCCAGCTGGGCAGGGGTGGTGGTGAGCCCCCGACGAGCCCCTGGCAGCGGGCCGCGGCCGGCTCCAGCTCCAGGAAGAAGGGCCTGAGAGTGGGGATTGTCCTCGCTGATGAAACCGGGGATGGGGGGGCCTGCAGGGCTCCAGGAAGGGGGTGGATGAGGCAGGTGGGAGATGCCGCTGGGAGGGGGCAGCAGGGAGGCTGTTTCTGCACGCGAGATCCCTCCTGTCCCCCAGCCTTGAGCTGTTGTGCGAGAGTGAGTGTGGTCCCAGCTCCTGGCAGGGCACAGGGAGAGGCATTTGGGGGCCACCTGCCTCCCTGCCCCCAGCTCCCCACGTTCTCTCTTAGGATCTGTTCTGCGTGCTTCCTCTCCTCTCTTGGGGATCCAATTTGCATTTGGTCTTAAATCCCGTCACTTTGAGTTTATCACCCAGGCTGGGTCACAAGCTTCAGGGCTCTGAGCTTCGGTTTCCCCCTCTCCTGGCTACTTCTGGAGGTTCTAATGAGGATGGGTTTGGGGACAGTAAAAGCAAAGCATATCAGCCTTGGCAAGGAAGGGAAGAATCTCCAGAGGAAGCCATCGGGGGGCGGGGGGGGGGGCTTTTTAAACATTTTGGTGAGGAAGAACAGTGTCTGGGAAAGGAGGAGCGAGGTGACTCGAGGTGACAGGTAGAGGGGGCAGGGACGGCAGCAGGCGGGACTCACTGGACCACCTCAGTCTCCCTATAGTGCCGAGGATGTCTCAGGGCCCCTTCCCACCTGGCAGCTGGTGACTTTGTGGCAACTGGCAGGGAAGGACAGGGAGGACTCTTTTCGGAGACGAGACTGCAGAATGCAGAACCTCAGAATCTCCAATTTGTCCAGAAGGCTCAAAGCCCAGTGAGGGAGGGGTGGGCCTGTCCTGCCCACTCGCCGCTCCCACCCCGTGACTGCGTATGTGTAAGGGTTTGCTTTGGACTTAAAGCAGGAGTGAAAGAAATGTTGGTTTCCAGAACCACCGCCCCAACCTACATACCTCTTGGGGTATCCACGGAGCAACCTTAACCCTGATGCTTCTCCGGAGGAGGGACGGGGCGGAGCAGCTGGAAGGTTGACGGGCTGGGTGAAGCCGCTCAGCGCAGCTGGAGCGCCCTCTAGCGCTGAAGCGAGTAATGACCGTCAGCACTGACTCAAAATGCCTATTTTCTTGATAATTCTAGTTCCTGAGCTGGCTACTGAGCCTAACACAGTGCTGCGCCCCCTACGTGGATTATGTCCTTTAATTTTCACAACAACCCTATGAAGTGGAGAGTATTATCCCCATTTCACAGATGAAAAAAATCAAGGCCCAGAGAGAAGTGACTTACCTGAGATCCCACCACCCAGCTTCCTGGCTTCATCCCATCTCCTTTTCTTCATCTTGTCGCTCGAGGAGTACATGTCAGGTTAAGAGGGGGAGGTGGACGTACACACACAGGAAATTGAAGGCTGCAGAGCTGGTGGGGCACGAGGTGGAGAGGCAGAAGGTAAAACCTTGATCTGGACCTTAAGAAACAGGTAGCACATGAGTGATCTGGATATTTTTGAGGGATTGGAGATCAGCTTGGGCTGGACCCACTGCTTTGTGATTCACTGAGAGGCAGTATGGCAAAGTCAGCACATTGCACTCAGGTAGCACCTTCTGCCAGGAACATCTCTGAAGGGAACGGGAACCCATGAGGTAGGTTCCATTACCCCTATTTTATACCTGGGAAAACAGGCCAGAGAGGGTAAATAACTTGTCCACAGTCAGAGAGGGCCAGTGGTAGAGTCCAGATGCTTTAACTTCCACGCTGTCTGTAGTACATGCCACACCCTCAGAGCCATGCCTGCCACCCAATCAGTGTACAATAAACATGTTGGCTGTGGTTATTTTTAATTCACCCAGAGGCCCAGGTCTTACCTTCAAAGAAATCTCAATCTAGGGAAGAGGGGAAGGAAAGGGTAAAACAGTCCCTTTTCAAAAAATAATGTTTAAAAGTTATAAAGTAAGAAATGTTTTTTGTAGAAAATTTGGGAAACATACATTAGAAAAAGATTATTGCTCATAAGCCCACCACCCATGGATAAATGTAGTACTAACTGAGTACTTGCTGCTGCCAGGCACTGTGCTAAGCAGGTGCCATATACTGTCTGATCATCACAGGAGCTCCCTGTAGTAGGTCCTATTATGATTGTACAGATAGGGAAAGTGAGGCCCAAGGAGGGTCGGTGTGCCAGGCTTTCATCTTGGGTCTGCTGTCACAACTGTTGCCACTCCCCACGGGACCATTTGTCACCGCTGGGCTTTGGCAGAACCGTGATCACAGAGGTCAGGGAGATAAGACAATATGTGGAGGGAGTGAACGCTAGCTCCCTAGGGCTTGGAAAGAGTGGGGATCCCCTAAGCTCCCGTGGGGAATGAACCTGCAAAAAGCCCTTCTTGCCATGCCAAAGAGAGCCTGGGCTTTTCCTTGCCTTTGTCTGGGAAGGTGTGTGAGGGGCCCAGCCCTGGGGAGCTCAGCTGGCTCAGGAGCAGTGGAAGCTGGCAGCATTGATATGGGCAGGCCAGGCCTTGTGTGCTGCCACCTAATGGCCACAGGGATTGTTGACCAAGCAGGCCCCCTAGACTCCCCACTCTCCTGGGGTGTGAGGGCCACATTCTAAATGAAGACAAATACCTCTTTTGGGGGTTGTGGTCAGATTCAATCTAGTCCTGTCTGAGTGGCATGTGGGCTACCTCCAAGTATCCAGTGCTGCAGGAAATGGAAGGTGGGGAGACCCCAGAACAAAGATACCACCTGAGAGGACCTCAGACTGACCATGGGAATGTGTCACAGCCTGACTAGTCTCCCTGCCCCAGCAGGAGCCAGAGCGTCTGTAAAACACAAATCTGTCTGTCCCCGGCCATTTCTGTCAGTCCCATAACCACTCTTGTGTCCTCTCACATGGGGACTTTGCCCATAGGGCTCTCTTTGCCTATATCTTTACAGGCCACCTTGGCCTCGGGAACTGCCCAGGGCATAATCTGTGCTCAGTAAGGACTAGGATTCTCTCCTACTCAGGCTTCAGGGCCCAGCTTTGATGTCACATCCTCCAAGACTGGGGTCCGTGCTCCTATAAGTCCCTGAACTTCCTCCATGGCACCAAATCACTCTGCACTCTACCTGCCTGCTGTCCTCCCCATGACGGAGTGCAGCCCCGCAGGTGGGCTGCAGGCGTCCCGGCTGTGGGCCTGTACAGCTGGCGCCTCACTGACTAGCTCTGTCTTAGTGAAGGAAGGGCTAGCCCTGGAGGGTAGCGTGCATGGCCTTGGGAGTTGGTGTCTTCTCTCCATTCAGTGTCATCTGACAGTGAATGGGTTGGACTAGAACCTGAGGTCTCGAGGGCTGTGCCATACCTCATGTCGTCCATGAAGCAGCAGGCAGATATTGCACACCTGAAAGGACAGCTGGGCCAAGGAGCCTAGGACAGCACCCCTGGCTGGCCACAGGCCTCTGCTCCACATCCTGCCCAGACCATCTTGGCACAGAGAGTATGGAGTGGTTGGTTCCCACCTCTAGGCCCATCTCCATCAAAGCCATGTCCCACCGGGCTGGATTCCAGCCCAGGCTTTGGGGTTCAGACTTTGGGATCCATTGGCATCAGTTCACTCCGAGACAGGCACTGAGCAGACAAATGAATCGGCCCCAAGAGGGAAAGTATGGGGACTGGGAACATAGAGGAGGGGCCAAGGGCCTGCCCAGAGGTGATGGTCATCTGGGGAGGTGAGAGGGCACTGGGGACACCACAAGTGGGTCAGCAGGGCTGGGTGTGGCGTGGATTAGGGAGGACCCACTCCCTCCTTTCTGTCACTGGGAATTGGTCCCTGGAGGAGTGCCAGGCTGGGCTGGGATCCTCCACAGAGCAGGGGTCAGTGAGGGGGTTCTGAGCAAAGGGATGCCCTCCCCGTGCAGTGTCCCAATTGTTGACACTCCTCCCTGTCAGCAAGGACAGCCACAGAGCTGTGTCTATCCCCAGGGCCCAGGGCTGAACCAATGAGGGAGTGAGTGGTAGAAAAGAGACTGGTTCTTGGAGTCAGGCCTGCACCGGGTCCTGCTCTGATCTTAGGCAAGTTGCTTTACCTCCCTGAACCTCTGTTTCCTTTTCTTTCTAAGTCGGGGACCCGAGCACCACTGATTCTCTTAAGTGCTCTCAGAATCGTTAACTGAGAGGCCGTACTCAGGGGTGGCTGGTGCAGGGGTGTCCAGAGGAGTCAGCGGGAGCCCTGAGGTTCCACCCCCCCTCTGCCCACAGGCACGGGCCCAGGCCGAGGCCCTCCGCATCAGTGATGTGCATTTCTCTGTCAAGCCGAGTGCCAGCGCCTCCTCACCCAAGCTGCATTCCAGCGCTGCTGTGCACCGGCTCAAGAAGGACATCCGCCGCTGCCACCGCATGTCCCGCCGCCCTTTGCCCCGCCCAGACCCCCAGGGGGGCAGCCCTGGCCTGCGCCCACCCATTTCACCCTTCTCCGAGACGGTGCGCATCATCAACCGCAAGGTGAAGCCTCGGGAGCCCAAGCGGAACCGCATCATCCTGAATCTGAAGGTGATTGACAAGGGCCCAGGTGCAGGGGGCGCCGGGCAGGGGGCCGGGGCACTTGCCCGCCCCAAAGTCCCCTCCAGGAACCGCGTCATCGGCAAGAGCAAGAAGTTCAGCGAGAGCATCCTACGCACCCAAATCCGCCACATGAAGTTTGGTACCTTCACGCTGTACAAGCCCCCACCCGCCCCTTTGTCACCCCCACCAGCTGGCAAAGCCGACATCACTGCCTCCACGGGCCCGGGGCTACTCCTGGCCACCCCCACCACCCCCTATGATGCCCGCAGCTCCAGCTCTTCTGGCTGCCCCTCGCCAACACCACAGTCCTCCTCCGACCCTGATGACGTGCCCCCCAAGCTCCTCCCCGAGACCGTGAGCCCATCTGCTCCCGACTGGCACGAGCCAGAGGTGCTTGACCTGTCCATTCCTCCTGAGTCAGCAGCCACCAGCAAGCGGGCACCCGCCAATGTCACTACCACTGCTGGCCAGGCACTTCCCACGGCCCCGGAGCCCACTGGCATCTCCTCTGAGCCAGAGGCTGGGGATTGGCGCCCTGAGATGTCACCGTGCTCCAATGTGGTCGTCACCGATGTCACCAGCAACCTCCTGACGGTCACTATCAAGGAATTCTGCAACCCTGAGGATTTCGAGAAGGTGGCTGCTGGGGTAGCAGGCGCCGCAGGGGGGGGTGGCAGCAGTGGGGCAGGCAAGTGAGGAGGCTCTACTAAGGAGGAGGGTTTTGGGGGGGCCCTCCTGCTCAGAGTCACACTCTTGCTCCCACCCATCTTTGCTGCCCTCAGACCCCTCTGCCTGTGCTTTGCTTGTTTCAAATGGCTCAGTGTTGACCCAGGGATGGGGCTGGGCAGTTGGAGCCCCTGAAGGCCAGTGGGCGGGGGCAGTTCTGGGCCGGGTTAGGGTTGGGGCCAGGCAGGGGCACTGAAAAGTGCCCCCTCTTGTCCCTTGCTACCCTCCGTACCCACGCACAGTGGAGCCCGCTGGGTGGTTTCTGGGGAGCCCCAGAACCTAGGATTCACCTGCCCCTCCCAATCCCAGCCCTGTCTCTTCCCAGCTTGCTTCCTGCTCTTGTGCACAGCATCTGATTTCTCGGTGCTAATGGGCAGCTGCGGAGGCTCTTAAGAGACTCCCCCCACCCACGGTGGGCACAGTCCCTTTCTTCCTGCAGATGCCTGGGCAGGAGGGGGCAGGGATGGCCTCCTGCCTGTTTTGCAAAGCCCCAGACAGAAGTTGAGGATGAGGCCAGGCCTGGCTCCTCCTTCCCCATCAGAAAAGCATCAGAAACTGGGCCAGAAGTGTGGGTCTTCTCTGCCCACTTTTGAACACGGCCAAAGCAGACCCCATGACCCGCCTTCACCCCATCTGTTTCCTAGCCCCCTTCTCGAAAGTGAGAAGAGTGGGCAGAGGACTCGCCCAGCCGCACCCTCCCAGCATCTAAAGGCCCCTTCAGTCCCTGACCAAAGGTGCTACAAGAACCTGCTGGGCACTTCCAATTGTGCGTGTGCATTCACCCTCTTGGCGTGTTTGTGCGTGGACCCGTATGTGCACTGGGTGCTGGGCCCCTGGCCTTCCAGGCGGCACCTTTTACAGTTCCTCAGAACAGGGTTGTTGAAGGCCTGAAGCTCCCTTCCCCTCAGTGGGACCTGGGGCCCTGGCTCAGGTCTGGGGAGTTTGCTGTGGAAGCCGCTAGGCCTCTCCTCCTGGCCCAGGTGTGCTGGAGGCCCCGTGCCCCCATGCCCTCTGCCTTGGGGTGGTCAGCCCGGCCAGTCGGGCCTTCACTGCAGATGTGGCACACTGGGGACTGAGGTGGAGAGGGGAGACCCCCCACTCCAAGCTTCCTCTTGCTCCTGGTGTTTGGGGAGGAAAGATGGAGCCTGGCAGTCATTCCCGAGGGTCTCCCAGCTTCTCCCACCCGCTCCATGTCGCTTCTGCCAGCTGAGGCTTTCTCACAGCCCAGCCTGCTCGAAGCAGTGGGAGGCCTCCGGTGCCCTGGGCAGCTTCTGTTTCCCTCTGCTGCCAGGGAGCTGCGGCGGCGCACCAGTGGCAGAGACCAGAGCCCCCAGTTTTAGGCTGGGCACTGGGAGGGCTGGCAGGCCAGAGGCACCTGTGCTCTTCAGGAGAGCGAGAGTGTTGGTCCCAGGAGTGGGGCTTGGGATCCTGCTGGCCAGCCCTGGGCCACTGTCTGGGTCTCAGTCAGGCTTGGGGGCGTGTTCCTGCGCGTGGCTGGAGCCAGCTTCCTGCTGTGCACCTGTTGGTACCTGTGCTCACAAGATTGATGGCGGAAGGCAGGAGGGAGGCTGAAGGGGAATCCAGCCAGATACCGAGCGCCTTCGGTCCTAAGTACAGGAGGACTCTCTTCCAAATCTCCCTGCCAGGGGCTGCAGCGTGGCCTGGGCCCTCCCCGCCCCAGGATGTAGGACAGGAGCCTTCGCAGGGTTCCAGGGCGGGCGCCCCTCCTGGATCTCTCCCCGCACCCCTTGTGTTGGCTCTGTGGCCGTCCAAGTGCCAATTGGCTTTCCCCCAAATAAGGGCTGGTGTTTCTCCTCTGTCCTGAGAGGTGATTTCCCCCTAACCCCTCCCCCCTAGGTGAGTGACCACCTGGGTGCCAGTTACAGGTGTTTCCAGAGACCATAGAAATGTGTTTTCCTGAGAGTCTGTGTCATTCGTGACCTTTTTTGTAAAGAAGTTGTGTTTTCAGAGGTGATTTTATGACAGGAAAGTGAAAGAATTAGTTTTGCAAAAAACAAAAAACAAAAAAAGAGGAAAAAAAAGAAAAAAGATATAGAAAAAAATAATTGTGGGATTCCTAGAGGGGTGGGGTGGGGGGAAGAAAGAGATATTTAAAGAAAAAAATAGTAACGCAGTGATTGCACAGGTGAGGTGGCAATGTTAGGAATGGGATAGAGGCCTGGGCCCCACTGCCAGGTCCCCTGGTGTCACAGGCACTGTGGAGGCAGCCGAGCCGCCGTCCACCCTCCTTCCTTGGCCCAGAAGGGCCCTGCAGCCTTCCCTGCTGTCCCGGGCCCAGACTCCCACGCCCAGCTGGTGCCGAGGGTGCTGGCCAGAAGCTGCAGAGCCAGGCACACGCAGGCCGAGGGAACTGGGCCTTGGGAGGGGTGAGACCCATCGCTGGTGATTTTCTCCAGGAAGGCTGCTGAGTAGGTAGTCTGGTTTCTTGCTTTCCTCCGTTCCTTTGCCAGCTTAGTGGGCCATCTAGTCCCTACCACTGCCACCCCACGGGGGGGCATCTCCCTCTCCATCACCCCAAAGACCCTAGCCAGGAAGGAGACACAGGCTTCAGAAAGAAAGCTGTGGGCCCTGGGAGGTCTTAGGCGGTGAATCTGATGGGGGTAACTAGGGGGAGAAGGGAATGCCCATCCTTTTGCATGGGCAGATTTCTGCCCCTGAGCCCCAAGTCAAGCGGCCCTGCCCAGCCTCGGGTGCGTGTGGAGGCACACATGCACATGCCTCAAGGTGGCAGCTCCCCTGGGGGCCGGAGCGGGCCTGGGACCCAGAGCAATTGGAGCCCACCTTACCTCTCCCCCCTGGGGGCTCTGAGCAGCCCACACACCCCTGCCCCCTACACTCGCACCGATCAGCGCCCGTGGGTCCCTCCTCCACCTTTGCTGCTTTTCCATTTGCCTAATTACCAAGCAGAAGTTGCAGTCTGGTTTGCTTTATTTTTGTATGTGAAATAACCCCCAAAGCCTGATCTCCTCCCATGTTCAATATTGGTTGGGGCATCGGTCATCTCCCCTTAAATGCACCCTTCCTCACTCACGTGTCATAGGAAACAGGTGAGGTCTGTTGTCTCTGGTTTGAGATGGAAAGTTGGAACCCAAAGCTGTCTCATTCCCACCTCTGGCCCTCAGTTTGCCCTTCTGTGACATGGTGCATTGGGCAGCAAGACCTCTTCCTGAAGCACTGCTGGTGTCTGAGCAGCTGCTAAGTACCAGGTGGTGGTCAAGATTGCTGGCCCTGGGGCCTCCAGCCACCCTCAGCCCCTCTATTCTCACCCTGCAAAGGGGTCAAGGTCAAAATGAGCCTCATCCTTGCTCTGATCTGGGAAGAGGTGATGATCAAGTCACTAGCCTCCGTGTGAGGTGGTCAGAGTGGGAGGGATCACCCCATTTCCAAGAGGAGGAAATGGGTTCCAAGAGGCAAAGCTGCTTCACTGGCTGATGTGGCAAGGCCTAGAGCCCAGATGCCCTGGCCTTTTGGGAAAAGCCCTTTAAAAGGTGGGGTCCCCAGGTCTGGAGTCGCACAAGGCAGGAGGGCTGACTGAGAGCCAGCGGGGCTGCCCCAGGCTGCAGGGTCAGTCCACAGGAGGAAGCTGCCCCGCCAGCCTTTCTGGCCTCCCTGGGGGCCCAAGGGGACACCCCCCTTTTCCCACTTTTCTGTGTTTTGTTTTGTTTTTTGTTTTGCACTTCGCCCACGCTGGACGGTGGAGCCCGCCCGCTCAGTCCCACTTTCGGGCTCCCATGCACTAGCCCAACGCAGCCTCTTTGGGGCTTGTATGGTTTGAGGAATCACTTTTTTAAAGAAAAAAGGAAGGTGTTTAAAGTTTTAGTTTTTTCTGTCTGCATCTCCTCTCAGATCTAGAAAGCCCGGAATTAAGGGCTAGAACTCCAGGAGAGGGTCACCTGACCCCCTCCCTTGCTGACAGTCACCAAGGTGCAGAAATAGGCAGTTAGGTGGAAGCCAGGACCCCATCTCCCCGGCTGTTCAGTCTCCCCTGCCCCTCCAAAGCCTTGAAGGAGTCAGCACCGCGCTCCAACAGTGAGTGAGCGCCTACTGGATGCAGGGCATCAGCTAGGCAAAAGGCGGACTGACGGTCTAAAGGGAAACTGCTCACAAGAGGCCACACAGCAGGAACGAGGGGTCCTGGCCTGCCCTCGCTGTTGGGCCAAGTGGAGATGGAGATTCTTTTTGTTGGTTTTAATTTAAAAACACAAAGGCCTAAAGAAATATGTATCTTATAATTTTTTTAATTTCTGCAAAGCTCATTTAATGAATTGTGCACGAATGAATTCTATATATATAAAATATACATATATAGCTCTATATTTGGGGAGGGGCACTGTCTCTTTTTTTCTCTCTCTCATTTTAAAAATGAAGTGTTGTTGCCTTTGTCTGTGGTTCAACCATCCAGCTCCCAGCTGGCTAAACTTTGCCTCCAGTAGTGAAAGATGGGAAAATAGGGTTGGCGGGAGACAAGGAATGGAGGTGCTGCCCTGGCGTGGGGTGGGTCCCCCAGCCCACCCCGCCCTCCCCCGGGGAAGATTTCTGGTGGAGACGACCACTTGCTTTAGGTGTGGGTTTCGGTCCTGGTGTTCTGGATTTGGCGCTTTCCGGGCCGGGGGAGGGTGGGTGTGTGCCGATTGCTCTGTCTTGTGCGTTTTGCTCTGCTGCTCTTCGATATTGTGTCAATGCCAGGAAAGGGGAGTGAGACACCTCTTTCACCCCCAAATAAATTGTCACATTCCGAAGCTAAGGCCCAGCCCTCAGGGTGGGGTGTCTGTCTCATTTCTTCTGGCTATTACTGTGGTCTTGTGCCTCTCCTGGGACAGGTGCAGCGAGGAGAGCCCTGTCCCTCAGCTGGCCAGCCCCCGGCCCATTCCGAGCTCCCACCTCCCACACCCCCTCTGGCTCATAACCTCCTCAGGAGCTGAGCAAGGGCTGCAGGATACCGAGGCAAGAAAGCCACGGAGCTGGCCACTTCTCAGGACCTCGAGAATAACTAGTTGGCGGGCATGTGGTAAGAGTGGTCCTTGTCAGCCTGTGCCCAGAACAAAGAGGGGGTCAGAGCAGCTGCATCAGAAAGCCAGCCTGTGTGTGGATTCTATGTCCTCTTTATTTGGGCTGCTGACTTCTGAGGATACACTTCAAAAAGGCCTCATGGCCTACAGAGGCTGAGCACCAGGACACCCGCTCCACAGGCATGGAGTCGCAAGGGCAGCAGCAGGGGACGTGCCCGGTCCTGGCCTCCAAACAGCCATGTGCTCTGAGCATCTGCAGGGGAAGCTGTGAGCTCAGAAGAAAGTCCTAGGAGGAACAGAGGCCACTTCGGGGCGAGACTTGAAATGGCCCTAGTGAGGCATCATGAGGCCTGAATGCTGGCTGAAGCAGAGGGGACAACAGAAGTGGCCAGAGTTGAGGGATGTTTGGAATGTTTAGGATTTGATGATCAATTGCCTTGAGGATTTGCAAGAGGGAGCCTCTAAAAATCACCCATGTGCTGTGGTAGGTGAGGGAGTGGGTGTTGGCACCACTCCTGGTTGGGGGAACCTGGCAGCGGAGGCAGCTCAGGGGAAGGTGAGTTTATTTTGGGACACCTTGGGAGTGAATCTGACAGAGGGTCCAGGGCGTGTGTGTGTTGGCGGGGGCAGTGGGGGGGGAGGGTGGATTTGAGGCTCAGAGCAAGCTCCTGCCCACCCAGGCACTGCTGGAGAAATATGTAGAAGAGTCTCTGCCCCTGGGTGTACCTCAGCTCTGAGATGAACTGGTCACCAGCCATCCTATAAGGACCACCAGGGTGCTTAGCTGTGGAGGCAACTGGGAAGTTCCAGGGGCCCCTTGCCTCCCACCACCACCTCCCCCCAGTCTCATGCCTTTCTCCTTGATGAACAGCCCGGTGAGGTGAGACATGGTGCTCGGAGACAGTTAATCCCATTGGACAGGTGAGGCTGTGGGACCCAGGAGTAGGTTGGGGGAGGGGGGCTCCCCATGGTCACTCAGAGGCAGAGAGAGTAGAACCCAGGGCTATGGTAAGATTCATGGAACCTTCAGTCCTGCTATACAGTACTTAGGAACACTGGATAACATGTAACAAACATCCTTTTAAATACCCAACTGAGTTTTCAAGGTAGTAAAAAAATATCCCTAGGGACCCAAAGCAAAGAGGAAGCCAAAAATCAAAGTGACAAGCAAATGCTGACCCTTTAGCTACCCTGCAGAGTGGTGAGTCTATGGGTGACACGGGGGAGGGTGGGGGGCAGTATTGGCCTTTGCCGATCTTGGTAACCAAGGAGCTTGAATTTTACACCTATATAGGGATGGGAGA